GGTGCTGGTGTTTTCTTTTAACCACTGAGTTCTGTTGAGATCTCTCAACACAACTATGTTGATCGAGAGTTCCTTATGCAGCTAGAAAATCATTCAAGTCTAGTTCTTTTGCATTGTCAAACCTCAAGCATTTAATGACAGCTTGAAATTATGTTTTCACCAAGTTGAAAGTTTCAAATATAAGGGAGCATCGAATTTGTGATTAATCAAATAAGTCCAAGTAAACTAAGTCTGGTCATCCACTATAGCGAGAAAATATCTTTTGTTGTCAAAGGTAGGATGTGGATAGGGTCCCCAAATGTCATAGTGCACTAAATCGAAAGGACAACTAGAAAAATAGTTATTAGAAACAAAAAAAAAAAGTCTTCTTTGTTTGGATAATGGGCAAATATTACAAGAAGTAGAAATGTGAGAATTTGGAATTGAAAATTGAAATCCTTTATTCAAGTATTATAGACATGAATCAGACAAGTGGCCTAATCTAGTGTGCCACAAGTTATGCATATTCTGATGTACATCATTATGAGGAACAAAAATAGAAAAATGATTAACAGTATTACAATTCTCTTTATTAGGTAAAGTAGTGTAAACATAAAGTCCCTTAACTAATTCACCCTTGTTAATCTTCTTCATGTGAGTTCGATCTTGTATGACAAAATTGTTAGAATGAAAAGACACAAAGTATAGTGACTGAGAAAGAAGGGAACTAACTGAAATTAAATTGACATGGAAACTAGGTATATAAAAAACATTATGAAGAATGAAATCGGGTGATAAAGAAACACTACATATGGCAGAAATAGAAATATAAGAACCATTAGGAAGAGTGATAGAACAGATTTATTGCTTTGTAAGAAGTAAAGGAATCAAGAGTGCTTGAGATGTGATAAGATACACTTGAATCTATAATCCAACAATGTTTAAAAGAAGGAAAGTGAGGGAAAGTGGACAAAACATAACCTGAATTGGAGCCATGTATGGCTAAATCTTTAGAAGGTTGTGATGAAAGTGACATTTAGGAAGACAACAAGGATATTAACAGTTGATACTGATCATGAGTCAATCATGGAACATTGGAAGAAACATTTCCACTGACTTTATTAACAGAAGTTGGAACATTAGAGTTCTTGCTCTTGGATTTAGGATGACCAAGTGGATAACCATGTAGTTTGTAGCAACAATCAACTGTATGATCAAGAAGCCCACAATGAGTGCATGTAAGTTTATCTTTCTTTCCATTCATGAACCTATTATCAAAGGATCTTAAGGAACTACCATAGACAGCAAAAGCAGCTTGAGAGTCTGAAGGTGCATTCAACATACCAACATCACGTTGTCTTTGATCTTGTAACACCAAAGAAAAAACTTTGGCAATTGGACGAAGAGGCTTCATGATCAATATCTGACTTCTCATAGAGGCAAAGGAATCATTCAAACCCATAAGAAAAGCTAAAAAAATACTCTTCTTAAATGTGATCAAGTGTGCAACAAGCACCCTTGCATGTACAGGTGCATTATGGAAGAAAATCACTCAATTCTTCCCAAAGAATCTTTAATTTGGTGAAGTATAGAGTTATGGTCATGGACCCTTGAACAAGACCAACAAATTCTTTCTTTAACTGGTAGGTGCGAGGACCATTGTGTTGTTTAAATTGATCTTCAAGATCTTTCCATATAGCAGTTGTAGAATCAACATATATGATATTAGCCAAAATATTCTTGGAAAACGAATTGAGAATCTAAGCAGTAACAATGATGTTATTGTGCTCCCAAACAACAAGAATTTGGAGATTATTAGCACCAAGTTTTGGTAGAGAACCATCAACATAGCCAAATTTACTTTTGGCTTGCAGAGTAATCTTCATAGACCTATTCCAAGAATTGTAGTTGTCTCTGCAAAACAAGTTGAACCCCAAAATTTTCAGAATTATAAATGAAGTAAGAATTCAAGATTTCATCAATCACAAGGATAATCATGACAAAAAAGGTAAAATAAAGAATCATAAAAGAAAGAAAGAGTTTGACTAGAGTACATTTTTTTTATACTTAATTTTTAGACGTATATAACAAACAACCAACATTTCATACGTTAAAACATTTTAGTTATATCTAACAATAGGTTGAAATTTTCTATTAAAAATAAAGCTTTTTAACTACAAATTTTATATGAAATTTTTAGTGTTTTTATTTTTTTTGATTTTTATTTATTTAATATAATTATTTAATTTTTTATTTCAACCTTTTATATGTGTGTCTATTTTGAATAGAAAAAAAAATGTAAAGATATATTTATATAATACTCATTTAATTTTTCTTACTTAGATATAAATTTATCCTTATAAGTCCTAATTAATATATGTTGGAGTAAATTTCAATAATAATACTTACATTTTTCTTTCTAGTCATATTTCTAAACTCGTGCAAGTTTCAATAAAAACATTTGAGTACCTATTTAATTTAATATACTTTTGATATGTTTCATTAGTAATACATTTAAGTTTCATTTACATCAATCATATTAACAAAAGAATACAGCATAATATAAATTTTTTATTTATTTTTTAATAGAAGATGAATTGGCACAATCAATTAATTTCGTGGGAAAAAAATATGCACTTCATGCATTGCATATTATCTGTTTTTAAGGTAATACATACCTTCAAACGTAATTGTCTTGCCTCATTTGTCGTTTTTTTTTTTTTGTCAACCTCATTTTAAACAACTAACACTAGTAGTAAATGACATTTAGCCCACGTTTATCAATATGTATGAGCCACTTTGATTTTGACAATTACTGTTGGAACTTTCAATAATTGTTAGATTATACTTCATCATTTTACATCACTTACAACACATTGCATATAATTTAAAGCTACATCAATTACAACACATTGCATTTAATTTACATCACTTTGAATAATAGTTATGATTTTTGAAACATGTTGACAGATGATTTTGATCATATGTACCGAAAAAAAAACTATTAAGAAAAGCAAAACTCACTTTAATAATTTTTTATATGCTTCAAAAGGGTTAGTCTTTAACTATTCATTAAAAAAATTCTTTTAATACACACAAAAGAAAAATGTATCATGATAAACAAAACACGCAACTTATCAATATGGTAAAAGTTGAAACTTGAACGCTAAATTATATAATCACTAATCATAATTTAAAGAACATATCAATGTTATATTTGTTTCAAAACCACATTAAAAAGTCAGTTTGTATTTGAATAATTTTCTTATTAAGAGTATATTTTTATATTATTTCTTTCATTAGTTAGATTCATTTTAGAATAGTTTGCTAAAGATATAGCAATTTACATATTTTATTTTTTAATTTTCCGTACAGTGCTAGAGTAATGCTAGTTGAGATTACGATGATAGTCTGCATGCTTTGTGTTCATAACAACATTTTCCTCATCAATTGGTGCCATTTGCTGTCTATCTAACATTAATAGTTCTTTTTATGACACTATCACTTGGGTTTAAATATATATCTTCTTGGACTGAACATGAATGTATCTTACTATTCTTGGATATCTACTGGGCTAAACTCAATATCATGTCACCTGGGCCAACACATGACCTGACCAACCCACTCAATCAGGGTTCATCTTCAAGCCCAACAATAATGATCCAAATCTAATATTCAGCCATCTAACCCAATTGACCAGATCGACCCAGACCCAAAAACGCCTCAATAATTAATGATGAATGTGTCTGTAGGTGGAATGATAATGAATCTTGTCCTCGTTTGGATACTAAAAAATAAAATATTTATAATGAGTAAGATAAATATTTTATTGACAAAAAAGGGACAAATACTCGTTTAATGCATTTAAGTTTGAGTATAAATAAATATATTCAAAATTTTATAAGTATAGGTATAGTTACTATAGTATCCATACTCATTTCGATATTTACCTGCATTAATATATAAAACATAAATATATAAACACATATATTTTAAGTATATATATATATATACAATTAAATTTTTAGATAATTTGATTATAATTTCATGCATATATTATAATTTGATGTCTAATAGATTTTATTAATTTTATATGAATGATTTTTTTAATAATTTGTATTTTGTAAGTATTTTTTTAAATACTATTTATTTTATAATAATATTTATGCTTTGTTAGTTTTTAAAAAATAAAATAAAAGAATAATATTTCAGTGAAATGTACTGAAACTTTTTTTTGTTAGAATAATGGAATTAACCATTTAAATAAATAACAAATTTAATTATATATAACTTCAAAATGTTATAATAAAAAGATAATATGAATAACAGTGTTATTGTTGTTATTTACTTAATTAAATAGTTAAGTTTATTTATCCTTTAAATGTTTTAAATAACTTAAAGTTTAATTTCTTTTAACTAAATAATTTTTTCAAAAGAGATTGATAAAAAATGGTCAAATATATTTAATAAACAAGTATAAGCACAAGAGACCATGGTCTAGGAACGGATGTTATTTTGATATTTATTAAGATAACACGAATCCAAATTTTTATAGTAAAAATTAGATTATTTATTTTATATTTATTTAAGCAAATTTAGATTCGTTTAGACAAATATAAAAATAACTAAAAATAAATTAATGCATGTTAACATTCTACTATGCATTCGTAATAGATACACTTTAAGTTCATGCTATTTATTATGTTTAATGTTGTTTTCTTTTTATTTTTAAAATGAGATAAATCAATTTATTTAATGTTCACGGTTCATTAGTTTAACAATGATTGAATATAGGTTAAACTAATATTAATAAAATATATTAACTAATAAACTAATGTAAAATTATAAAAAATTGAATTATCTAACATTTTCAATTAACATAAAATGATTGTATTACATGTTCTACAACATTAAAAAAATCCGTAATAGATAGCTAAACAATAATAAATTTAATGTAAATGTCATGTGAATATTTATTTTTTTTGAAAAATATTTTAGAATAGTTCTTTCCAAGAATGTAAACTAAAAAGTAATGTTTTATGAAAGGACCAGTTCAAAAGAGGTAATTTATTGTTTTACCATTGTCACAGATAAGAGAAAAACAAATACAGCATACATCTTTGAGGTCAAAAAAATGCGTAACTTGGCAAATAGCAAAGAATAAACATGTCATATCCAAAGGTGCAGATGCCTGTCATACATACAGTACACGGAATATCCTCTTGCAGCATCTCCCTTAATCATCCCTTGCTAATGGAGAGAGGGCAGTGATATTTTTGTCTAGAGGCAATGGCAATAGTAGATTTAATTAAGAAACTAAAATTACCAACCAATGGCCTATAAAATTTAATCTTCCCCTTCTTCTCTATTCCTTTGGACAGCACCAAATTTTTTTACTAGTATGTCTACTACAATGGGCACCAAGTTTTTGCAAGGGACACCCTTCTTATAAACCTCTCCTAAATGTGAATCACTTCCAATTCTCCCTCCTAAGAAAATATCAACACCTTCAGTGGCCTTACCATTCTCATCCCTAGTCATGCACCCCATGAAACCAATATCAGCAACCTGCACTTGGCCACAAGTGTTAGGACAGCCAGTCCAATGCATTCTCACAGGCCTAGTCACTGCCACTTGCCTCTCCACTTCTTCAGTCACTTTCAAGGCCCTTGCCTTTGTCTCAATTATGGCTTGCCCACAAAATTGGTTACCAGTGCATGCCACAAGTGTTTTCATGAGGAGGGAAGGTTCAGGTGATAACCTCTCTTTCAAGAGAGGTTCTTTGAGTAAGGCCTCAACTTTTGAGTTGTCCACATTAGGAATTATTATGTTTTGCTCCACTGTGAGCCGTAGTTCACCAGTGCCATATTTATCTGCCAAACGGGCTAGTTCATCCATCTCATCTGCTTGCACTCTACCAACTGGAATGTGAATCCCAACATAGCTTAAGCCCTCTTGTTTCTGTGGATGAACACCTAAGTAGTCTCTTCTTTCCCATTGTTTCTGAACCAGATCTTCCTCAGATGCTCTCTCTAGCTGCTTCCCTGCCATTCTTTTTTCCACTTCTGACCTGAATACTTCCATCCCCTGCATTTTTCAAAATTTGTCACTACGTTTAATCACAGTGGAAAATGGATGATTGTCAAAGTAGGATAACCAAATATTTTAAACATTCCAGCATTCAGACTTGGGGATATTTTATAAATTGCATTAGTTTTTTTATATAGATTCATTAAATAATTAATGTTAACAAAGGATTATGTGATAATTCAATCATCCTGTGCATGTTTTGTTTAGTTAATTTTGCACACCAAGGGTATTTCCAATCAACAGCCAGATACTAGTCTCTTTTGAGGCATTGAGATTACCAAAATGGGTTTTTCCTATCCTAACAAAATCTTTTTTATACACACAAGCATACTTAAAAGACTTGTTTGATTTCACAGTACGCAAAAGTGGAAGGAAAATAAAATGATTACTAACCAGTTCATCAATCAACCACATCATTCTTGTTTTCTGTCTGTTCCCTCTGGTGCCAAGGTCCCTATAGGTCTCAAGGACAGCTTTACACACTGGGATTACATCATCTGCAGAGACCCATGCATCAAGTGGAATTGCTTCTGCACATCGCTTGGCACTAAAGAAACCACCAACCAGTAAGTTAAATCCAAAACGACCATCCTTATTAGCAGGCATGTAAGCCAGGTCATTTATGTGAGGATGCTCATAGAGATCATGGGATCCCACCACGCACACATTCCACTTCCTTGGTCTGCACACATAACACAATTCCGATTGGAAAATCAGTCACTGTAGTCCTAATTTTACAAAATGTTGCAAAGTATCATTTGCTTTAGTCCTAAATGCCAACCAAAAGAATGTAAAAAAAGATTAAAATGAATAATATTTTGCAAATGCTTACAAAAGTGAAGCTTTACTCTTCTTGTCTATCTTTTAGATTATAAAATTCAAATGCGTGAAATGCAACTACATTTTAACTATCAACTATAATCTACCTTATATACACACTTACAAGTTTGATATGGTAGGGTTGCCAAGTGAATTGGCAGTGATGAATTGAGATAACAAGTTGTTATAAGATCGGGTATCAACAATCTCATATGGGTCAATACCAGCAAGAGGGTTACCCACAGGGTTTCTCACATTGTCCATGCCACTCTGTAGACTCGTCAATCCAACCTCTGCGAGGCCCTTAAGAATTTCTGGGACATCAGATAACACCACACCTCGAATTTGCCAATTCTGCCTCGTTGTCACATCAGCACACCCATCTTTCCCATACTTTCTAATCACACTCGCCAAGTATCGTGTTTGGGCACTTGTTGTCACCCCATTTGGAAGTTTCAGCCTCATCATAAATCTACCATCTAGTTTTGGCAATGCAAAGAAATCAACCCACTTTATATTACTTCAAATATAAAAGCTATTCACAGCAAAATGCAAAATTTTATTCTTGAATTAGTTAGCAAAACTAATTCCAGTATTACTGGTGCTTTTTGGTTTATTGTCTAAATAAAGTTGAGTTTTTTTTTATTGGTAACCCACATCAACCTTTCATGTCAACTTTTAATGCATGAAACATCAATTCTAATTAGAAAATAAGAGCTGAAAGCATTTATAATAGTACTAAACTAGTTTAAAATAGAAAATTTAAAATATCAACAACTTCAGTGATTGACATGGTTTGAGATTTAAACACGTAGCATTCATTTATTTATTTTTTCTTATCTTTGTATGTTGTGTGAATGGCCTAAACCAAAGCAAAACGGTGAGAAAAGTGAGAATGGAACTTAAGAAAGTAAAACTTACAGTGATGCTTTCTCCTATGAAAAAGGCCAAGCCACTTGAGCCTGACATCAATATCATCCTTAGTGAGCTTAGAGCTCTCAATTTCCTCAAGAGACATCTTTGCCAATTCATCAATGCCACCTTCCATAAAAAGCTTCATGGGGTCTTTCTCAAGCTTCACTTTTTCTTGAGGGTTGATGCCACCCCTATAATCTTCCTTCAAAACCCAGTACCCATCTCTTTGCTCCACTCTAGGATCCAACCTTGATGCCTCTACCTCTGAGGAAATGGGAGCCACTGTTGGTGTGGCAGAGAGACATGTCTTGGGGCGAGAGTTGGGGCAGCATGGAGGGGTTAGAAAGCGAACAGAGAAGGAAGACATGGCAAGGAACGTGTGTTAATGTTGAAAATGAGGTTGTTGAGATTGAGTTTGAGGTTGTGAGAGAGAAGAGTTCGCAATTTTGTAGGATGAAAGGACCAGAGTGAAGGGGAACCTTACGAGTCAGCAAGAGCTTTTGTCTCAAACATATGAACCTTTGGGTGGTGCTAAAGGTCACCTTTGTGATCAAAGGATTTAACTGAAAAACTGCTTTCCTTTCAAAATTCCCCCCTTCTATAAAATATAATTTTGGTCCTACATTTATACCAATTTTAAATTTATTTTATGCAAAATAAAAATATTTAGCCTAGCTTTTATATATACATTTATTTCCGCTGCTGTAATATTTTTCTCATTATAATATCAAGAGTTAGAGTTATGTTAAAATAATGTTATATTTTATTAATAAAATCTGGCATAATTAATAGATAGTTGAGTTTCTTAAACATTTTGATACAAATTTAATTCTTGATCGTGTATATATATAAAAAAAGAGTTGAGAAAAATTATAATTACTTCGATGATCTCTTCGTCTTAAAAAGAAATTGTCTGTTGAAAAAACGAATCTTTAATGCATACAAAGAAAAAAGAAAAATTTTATTTTTGTCATTTTACGAAATAATGAATTTTAATAATAAGCTTTCTATATTTATAACAACTCTGTTATTTTCATAAATTTATGACTAAATATTAATGATTAAAGAGTTAATTGATTTAGTTAAAGTTTAAGATTAGTATACGAGGAAATGTAATTGACAATGGTATTGTGCACCCATCGTTTCTCTTATTTCTTTGGTGCCGGTAGTTTTGGACTTTTGGGGTTCATTCATTGTATGCGGCTGCATGCAAACGTTAGTTTAACATGTGATTTCAATAAAGACCACAAATATAAATGACTTCTAAATAGTTTATCCAGAAAAAGAAAAGCCCAAAACAGGACAACACTAACACAGAAATCACTCGTCCCGTTCACAACTGGGGTCATATCTATTTGATCATCATAAATCATTTTTAATGAGGTTTATGACTTCATCCTATTAATTCTGATTCATCTTATTTTAAGAAAATAATTATTTATTAGTAATTTTTTAAAAAATTAAAATGTTATTCACCGACTCAATAAAATATCAAACGTACGAGCATCTGAAAAAGTTTATGGGTTTAGATTTATTAAAATAGTTTATAAACTCATTTCACCTTTTTTTAATACATTTATTGATAATTTTTTTATCAGAATAATTCTTTAATCTCATTCATTAAATTTTATGATTTAATTTATAGAAAAAATTCTTATATAATAAAACTTTAATTAAAGTATTTATTTAGACACACCTTTAATTACAATCATGTCATTTAATTATAAAATATTATAAATGCATTACTTAAATTATAACATTTGTATTCGAGTTTAAATGCTTATACATTCATGTCGATTTTAATGTTACAGGCTGTACGACAGTATATTCAATATGCTACCACATTCCTAGATGATTACATTATAGGTGTATAAGAACTTGTATTTTACATACAAAAATGAACTCTTTTAAAAATTAAGGAGGATCAAGTCTTTGAATCCCGCTCAGATCTCGAAGAATTTATAGTAGCTATTAAGTTAGAATCTAATTGACTTAAAAAAGATGTGCTACACTAGAATCTATATATATATATTAATGAGATCACTCATCCTAAGTAACGAAAATGAATTATTTAGCAAGTTAATACACTCTAGGTTAATTAAAACATTACAAGATATCTAATTAATAACGATAATTTCTAACCCAATACTTAATTATCAATCTATTTGAAATTAGCAAGAGAAACACAAAACAAAGGAAGAATAAAAAAGGTCGTGAAAAGACAGTTTAATAGTTACTGAAATATGGAATTTATCGAATATCTTTTCTTCCCTTTTCTTCTAATATATAATTCTCCAACATATTTTTAACATCGATCTTACGTATTTATATTAAATAGCTGGAATTAGATCAGTAATTAAAACAAAGGTAGCAAAACCATAACTGACACACAAGCTTGAACCGTGTCAAATCTAATAAATTATATAAAACGATAAACGATTAAATCTAATTAAAACAAGTTTCCGGAGGATTTGAATCTTGTAAATTCATCTTAGGGAATAAAATAGAGTTATTATTATTGATGATAAAATTAATATTGAAATTGTGAATAATTGCATATACATATATAATAAATTATGTAATCATTTAAATATCAACTATTGATATTTTAATTAATGAAATAGCACTGAACATTACGTAGTGACACAGAGGCACAGAAGAAACCTTAAGAGGTTGCCAAGAGTCAGGTTCTAATTGTGGTCCCCAAATGTTGTCGTAAAGGGAAAGACGTGCTTCAAATTTCTCAACTTTGCCAACCAAAGCCAACTTGACCACATCATCCCCTTTAATATATCGTATTCAATTGTCCATCTTCGTCTCATATTATACCAATTAAAATAATGTTTCGCGACACATATCTATACTCAAGTTGAAACCATTTAGATTGTTGTAATTTTTATGATATAGGCGTAATTACCACCTCCGGCGTACAAATTCATCACATACAAGAGTCCACAAAAACAACGTATTCATGTTATGAATATAAGAACAATGTAAATAAGGAAGGGGGAGACAAAACGAAATTTCGAAGGAAACAAATAAGAGAAGGCAATTTTTTATGTTTAAATTAATAGATTTATATAATATATTTATAAAAATAAATAAATAAATTATGTTTGTATTAATCCACATCTCTATTTTAAAATTATTAAAATAAAATATTTATTAAAAAAAATCTATCACCCTCTCCTTAAAAGTTCAGCATACAAATACATCATTACCTTTTGTTTAGTTAGTGAAAAGAAAATACAAAGAGATACAACTTTAAAATTTAAATGAAAAAAAAACTCTTGATTTTTTAAAACAAAAAGCTTTTTTTCTCTTCAACCAATAAGATAAAATCGAAAACATTAATGCATTCCAGGGTGATCCGGTGATTCTATTAAATTTTCACGCACAATATACAAGGACTGGGTCATGCTGTCCATCATATGACTGTTTATAAATGATCAAATAAAAACACTACAAGTAACTAAATACTAAATAGTGATTTTCAGTTCTCGAGCATAAACAGGATTAATTTAATGTAACATCTTCTGAATATAAATTATCAATGAGTAGGCCTAAGAAAGAGGCAAGGCATTAATAAAGCCATGCAAATTCCATTGCCATACTCATTCCTAAACCTCTAGCGCTCAGTTAAATGAAGCTATTTGTGTAAAGCAAAGAGGCCATTAGCACATACTACACAAAAATGACTTCAAACTTGGCACAAGGATTGCTTTCCAAGTGAGTCCTGAAATCAGCATCCCCTGTGAAGCTGAAGGTATAAAGAGCTTGCCTCTGTGTCAAGCCAAGTGGGTATATTCTGTATATTTTTAAATCATTGCCCCCTCTAAGAATTTCAGGTCTTTCTGGCTTCCATACAGGTACATGATTCATGGATGTGAACTTCAAAAGAACAGCAGATTTCAAGGCCTCAAGTGTTAAATCGCTAGACCTGCCAATTGGAGTCAAAATAACGAGTTATCATAATGTTAACTTATAACATTCTTCTTATAAAGATGGAATCAGCAAAAAACGGGAAGAGCCATAATGGATAGTCTTTTCAGTTGGTCTAACTCTAACAAAACACAATCACATGGTATTCTTTTATTTATTTTAGAAGCTTTTATTTTGCTTATGATTGCCCAGTATGCCATCATGTTTGACGGAATGTCATGGGAGCCCAGTATTAGCATACTTGATGATAATTAATAGGAAAATACAAACCAATACTCTTAAAGACATGATTAAGGATCATAAAATGCAGTCTCACCATGATTTCTATCACATTCTTAATGTGATTCTAATGAACTTTTTAAGCTTAAATATGTTTTTGGTCTCTACACTTTTGCAAAATTTTAGTTTTAATTCTTTAATTTTTTACACTATAGTCTCTGATTTTTTAAAATTCAACACTGATGTCTAATGATGATGTGGCTAACTAGGATGTTGACACACGTCAGTTTTTTGAGACATGCTTCAATTTTTCTATTAGAACGTGTCAATAAAAGAGACTAAAAGTACTGAATTTTTAAAAAAAGTTAAGAATTAAAATATAAAAAAAATGACTAAAATCAAAATTTTGCAATATATGTAGGAACTGGAATGATTTTTAAGCCAACTTTTTATTTTCTATTGCTTAAGACAGTTTATAAGCGAGACCCTGATTAATATAGGATTATAAGCCTAAAGGAAAAGTTAATAATCAAAGTAAAAAGTATACCTCAAGTAAATGGACTCCAGGTCAAACCTTCCCCTTTCTCTCACAGAAATATGATATACAGTTTCTGATCCTCTAGTGCACTGGCAAGGTCGTTTCTTGAAGTCTGGGCCCTTTTCCTCCTCCTCTCTAATTACAGTCGCCAAGTGAATGCAAAGGCGGCAGGATGAATGTACAGCTGCCATATCCACAAGGGCCTTGAAGGAATCAGATGGGCCCTCATACTTCCACCTATATCAATAAGATAACTCAGGTTGCATCCTATTATCAAATAATATAGAAAGAACACAACCCAAAATCTATTCACATTTTAAAACTAGATAAACTCGAGATGCCTCATTTAGAAACAGAAACCATCAAACTGCCCAGATTTTATTTTGTTCTATATAATACATTTTTGGTGTTAAAGGGGGAAATGTGAATAACTTGATGATATAAACTGCTGGTTCCCAATTATATTTGCAAAATCATGCACATGTGCAAATGACCAAGTCAGATGCAGGAAAGGGAAGATGCCTCAGGAGACTTCATGATTTTCATCATTTAATTTACCTCAATGAATGATTATATGCTTCAGGATTTTCTGCTAGGTATCTCATGGACTTTGCAATGGACTCAACATCCTCTAGCTCGTTAATATGTAAAATTGAACCAGGACAAGGAGCAAAATCCTCAATATTTGGAGCACCAACAACCACAGGAACAGTTCCTGCAATAAAACAGATTAATCTCCAGCAGCAGCATCATAAGTGGGTTCTGTTGATAAGTGCAAAAATTTAAGAATCCAGAACCCATAATAAAAATTGTCCACAAGTTTAGATGGAAATTCATTTTTCTCTTTTACATATAATATTCAAGTTGGACCATCCAAGAACACAAGAATATGACTTGATGACATAATAATAAATTATCACATACTAGAGGAAAAATTGTCTTTCAGGAAATTATTGTAACTATCCACTTCATTCACAATATAATATCTTGAATTTATACCAACAGTATCCAACTACCAAATGTACCCTGCTCACTATTTTATGTTTGGTTTATCACTTCAAATCTCATTCACAAGCACAGAATATTACCAATTAACTTGAAGCAATGACCTCAAGACACAATGGGTGGATCAGATTCAATTGAGTAAAACTCAGATATGCATTTTGTAATAATTAACAAGATTAATTATAACCAAATAAAACCTACTTTATCCTGCAATTATAAAAAGGACTAGTTTATCTATAAATTTAAGTGTGAAGTGTGAATAATTTATCATAATTAATATGGCTGAAGTTCTAAAAAATTGAACATTCAATTCCAACAAAATTTTCGCAATTGCATTACTAAAAATGAAAATCAGATAGAATGCATGAGCCAAAATAAAGTGATTCTTTACATCAATGATGTTGCATATGTAGTAAATGCAAGTAAGAGAGAATGGAGATAATATATATCCATACCAGCAACAAGGGATTGGAAGAATTTTTCAGTTACATAATCTTCCTCATTAGAATTTTCAAATGCTAAGCTAAATTTGTAGAGCTTCAGGGTTTCCACTTTGTCCACTGCAATAAAATAAAATAATAATATTCATTAGTAAATAACCAAAAAATCACATAACATTGGAACTTTGGAGGTCTTTGTCATAAGCAGTGGAATAATTTCAAACCACTAAGACATCAATTAATCATACATCATTCAGACCGTTACTGGATTTTACACAACAATAATGTTAAGTTGTGACTTGTGAACATATCATGTGTGCTCTCCTTTCACGCTATTGTGCAGCTAACAAACCACCAGTTTTTTCAAAAAGCTACAAACTAAGTTCAAGAAAAAGATAGAACACTTCAAGTTCCAAACTCCTCCATTCTTTTCTGAAAAAAGTTTTCTCTTTCATTAAAAAGATTACTCTTGCATTAAATGAAACTAACAAGGAGTGCTAACAACGCATTCTTTAACACACTTTTTCTAATACACTATCAATTATTGGTTGAAATTTATTAGAAACTACGATAAGACTCATTAAATTAGGAGTGAGATCCATATAATTTTGTGATTTTCAATAAATTTTAGCCAATAATAAATACTGTATTAGAAAAAATGTATCAGAGAACATGATGCTAGAATTTCTCACAAACATTAATGTTAAAATTTATGATGTACCTCTTCCATCATGGTTCCTATGACAACCACCGTAGGAGTCAATCTTGATGTTTGACCTTTCAAGAGCTTCAAGAGCTTGCAACCGGAAATTTCGAGCACCACAATTGGAAATGAATGCAGCTGCAAGAGCACTTTCAGTTTTTGGCTTTATAGGTGCCATGATATCATACTCAGCCCATGAAAAATATCCAACAGGAACATCAGATGATAGACTAGTCGTCATTACAATTTTATATCCCTTCCTGGTACACAAGAACATAATGATATTAGTTTAATCATTGACATTTTTTTAAAATTTTGGAATGGAAAACTCTCCACGACAATAGAGAACCAAAAGAAAGACGAATCTCAATGAACAAAAGGAAAGTCATAGCACTGCATTATGCACTAATTATCACTAGCAAAGAAAAGTATAAGTAGGTGCAAATGTTGTCAAGAAACAGAAAAGACAAAGCTGCAACTTAACCCTGTACACATTAGCCTATAAACTATAGGTTATGTTTGTTCACATAGTGTTCTCAATTCCATGCCATTAAACAAGGAGAATTTATTCTCTGCATTGCCCACACATTTCCATGGAACTATAAAAACAATACAAACCATGGTATCAGATTAAACAACAAGGATGCAATAAATGATCCAATCAAACAAACTAACACTTCATGATAGTGCTTACCCACCGTCTTGCCATGGCAATATTGTTCTCTGCATAGTATTGTGCTGATTCCATTGACCGCAGAACACTAGCAGTTCCAGTCGGTTGAGGTAATCCAAATGCAGCATCAGGTCCCTTATCCCCATTAAACCCAAATTTACATCCTACTGAACACATCTTCCACTCCTGCATTCGAATGAACTAAATACTTTAGAGGACAAGATGAATAATAGGCACATCATAAGGAAAACTATAAGGAGGTTACATGTACTAATTATTTTTCGACCTATAAACCACAAAACAGACATACACAGAAAGGGAATTGGATCTTCCCTGGCTGTTGAATGAATAACAAGGTATAGTGTTGCTAGAGAGAGAAAGAATAAATTATACCACCACAATCAGTAGTAGGATCCGGTTATACAACAACTAACATAAGAGAGAACCCCGCCCCCTAAAATATAAAGACAAAATTAACTCTTCAACATTCCCCAGGACAACAAATGATAAGGCCTATGTCCAACACCATGCTATACGACATAAATACACACCATAATTGAGCTAAGTACCCACATAATCAGAATTAACTAAAACTACTAACCTCCAGAAACCAAAAATAAAAGTACTAGAAGATACTTAAACTAATTTGGGAACAACTACATATTTTTCAACATCATATAAGATCATATAAATAAGAAGACAATAATAAAAAATAAACAAACCTGGTCAGCTCCAGCAACAAAAACAGGTTCTTTGTTAAAGTCCCTTGAATATGTAACGGCATCTTCTCTCTCCAACCATTCCTCACAACTTTCTGAGTCGGAATTCCTATGACCACCCACCCTCAAATCATCACCTTCAACCACCACGCGAGACCGGTAGAAAAAGTCAGCGAGAGTGTCAACCATGGCTGCGTTTTTCGCCATATCCAACCTACCCAGAAACGCGATCTCCGCAATCACCACAAGGGCCACAAACAGAGGCATTAGATTGGACCATTTCTTCTTGGGAACCGCTACACCACTCGAAACGTTAATGGGTAAACCTTCTTGCGTCGTCTCTGTTCTCGAGCCTCGTTGATTCCACACGAGACCCATCAATCAATTTTAACCCCAATTTTCAATTCCTCAAATTAAAAACTCCGAAAAATAAAGAAAGGAGAAAGAGAAATAAATGTGAAGGGAAACTGAAATTGGTGGCGTTATAGCCACGATTCCATGATGAAAAATGGTAGTGAAAGAAAAAATAAGGGTAAAGGATTGAAAGTTTGAAACTTGTCGTTGGTCCCTCGATGATGAAGAATAAAAAATGCAGTGTGTCTAAAGTCACCAAAGAGGCATGGTTTTTTCGCATTCAAAGTCTTCGGGGTGTGTTGAGCTCACTGAAACCAATGAGCAAGCAACACAAAACGACGTGAAGAAAGAACAAGCCCTTCTTATTTGTCTTAAGTTTCCGAGTTTCCCTCATAGTAACATGTCCATTTAGTTTTGGGCCTCCCAGGTGTGCTCCCTTAGGTCCATATATATATACACAGGGCTGAATAAGTTATATATATAGTAAATTTTTAGTAAAAATTGTAACCGTTAGTAAGATTAATATATTTAATTTCATTAATTTTTTAATTTTTATTAAAATTATTATATATGACTTCTTATTCTTTATAATATTACACTGGTTAAAAATCGTTTTTAAAATTATATTATTTATATATACCAAACGAAAAGTTATTTTCTTTAATAGCTATTATGAAATGTATATAAGTAATAAGATATTAGCATATTAATTATGTATAATTAATTTAAATAAACAAATTATTTTTAAATATATAATTTTATAGTTAATATTTATTTATATCTAAAAAAATATTTCATGTTAAAGACAAAGCAATTTAATAGTGTTAATTAATTAAAAAGCTATACAAATTTTGTAGATTTAATTTAATTATAAGTTAATATTTAAAAAAGGTTATTAAAAAAATAGTTTTGAGATTGTGTGTTTGTCTTTGCTTTAGTCTGAAGTAAGGAGCAGTATAGACAGATAATGATAGGCAATAATGAATATAACTATTGTCTTTGTCATCATGGAACTGAAAGTTCCTTTTTCTAATATTTAGTTTCCCATTTGCTGATGGGAATTGAAATGTTATCTTGTTGATGGATTATTTCCCAGCGAAGGGTTTCTCCACAAACATTCATATATAATATATCTGTTGGGAGATGTGATTAGATAACATGAATGTTGAAGATGTTACGTTAGGTAGTGAAGCAGTTCATTAAGTCGCTATGGTTAGTAATAGAAACAATGGATTTGGCCACCTTAAAGCTCTGGTGCAACTAAATTTGCTGTACAGGACGTGGGAATGCAAGTTTTTTATAAGAGAGATCTTTATCTCATGAATGATTCGTGGTTCTTTCTGTTTTTTATTCTTTATAATATTAACATCGTTTACTTTATTTTGAAAAATATAAGCACTATTGTTTTGTCTCTCTCATATCTGCTTCACACAACTTGTCATTCACATTACCTACCCTCTCACTTTGGTCCCATTTTGAGTATTTCGCAATCTTAGCTTATATAAGGATTTGTTCTATGCATGTCCTCCAACTCCCCTTAAAAATATTCTTAATAAAGGGGCATCTGCGATCTACATAATAATAGATTATATAATCTTATAATATAAAAGCTAAATATAGCATATGTGTATTGCACGAATTTATGTAAATATAAAAATATGTTAAAATTTAAATTTTATTAAGTTTATAATATTCAATATTTCTTGATAAATCATACACTTCCAACTAAAGTCAAAGACTGAAACTCAAAAACCTACTTGAAAAAAATCAGGTGACACAAATTGAATCAATCATCCATTGGTACAAAAATAAGAGATTAAAAACTTGATAAAATTTTTGAAAAAAAATAAATTATTTGAAGATGTGTTCTATCAAGTATTTTAAAAATTATATAAAAAATGATTTTAAAAATAATCAATTTTTTAACATGTATTGTCTTATGCAAAATAAAAACAAAAAAAAATTAATAAATAGAATTTTTTTTATTAAAAAATGTATTATTTAATATTATCAATGTATTGTCTTATGCAATATTTTATGATTTTTAATAAATATTTATTAAGTATAATTTTTCATCATATGTCCTTAAGTATACACTAAAAAAATTTAAAAAAAAAATAACTTTTAGTGTTTTTAATTGTTATTTTCTTTTGGAAATTCTAAAACTGATTTTTATCGAACAAAATTTTTTTCTTTCACATTGTACACAAAAAACAAAATTCTCCCAACGGCCGTACTTCTTTTTAGGGTTTAGGGTATATATATATATAGAGAGAGAGAGAGAGAGAGATAAATAAATAGATATCTTAATTAAAGTAAATCAAGTTATGTAGGTTTATAAAGTGGAAGTGTTCCTTATGTTAACCTTAGTGGGTGGATGGAAATCATAGTAGTCTTTGTGGTTAGAATGCTATCGGAATGAATAGAAAGTGTTTTCGTAAAAAATATTTTAATGTTCATGTGACTAGAAATTTGTGTTAAGCTTATTTAAATAGTTTAATTTCTTTCTATTTATAAATATAAATGCATCTTGATTAAGAGAAGTTTACATTATAATGTAATAAAGAATGAGTCAGGTAAAAGAATATGACTTAAATTGTCTTTAAAAATAAGTTAAGATAGATCATTTATGCGTCAAAGATTACATATTTATTTTTAATCTTAATATAAGATAAATATGGAAAAAAATTTATAATCATTCTAAAACATCACGTTAAGATCCAACATGACTATGAGGTAGTTATTTTTTGTCATAAATTATATGGATAATGTCTCTAAAGTTAACATGATTTAGTATGTTTTATTATATTTTAACATGGTGTATGCAAGGGGTTGAATTCACTTAGACAAGTCTAATTTCTCTTTATTTATAGATATGAATGAGTCTTAATTAAGAAATTTTCACATTTTGATGATGTCATAAGGAACAACGTGTCTAATATTAGATTAACATAAGTCATTTATGTGTCAAGGATTAGGTATATTTTTTTGAATCTTGATATGAGACACACATGGAAAGGAATTTGTAATCATTCTAAAATATGTTATCAAAATCCAACATAACTATGGTAAAGTTATATTTTAAAATAAATGAAATGAATAAATTGTCATTGAAGTATACATGATTTAGTATGTTCTATTAGATTTTAACAAGGTACTTAAGTTATTTATATGGGTTTGATTTCTCTTGATTCATAGATATGAATGTGTCTTAATTAAGTAAAATTTACATTCTAATGACATCATAAGGAAGAGTGACAAAAGAGACTTTGACTCAAGTTAGAAGTGTCCAAAACTAGGTTAACATAGATTTTTTATGTGTAATGAAATATGTATACTTTTTTAATATTGATATGAGATGCACATGGAAAGGAATTTGTAATTATTCAAAAATATCGTTGTTAAAATCCAACATGAGTACGAAAAAGTTATATTTGTCATAAATTAGATGAATAATTGTTTTTTATGTTGATATGATTTAGTAAGTTATATTTAATTTTAACAAAGTATAAGCAAGATGTTAAAATTGCTTAGATGAGTCTAATTCTTCTCTATTTATAATATGAATACGTCTTAATTAAGTGAAATTCACATTATGATGACCTCATATATAATAGGTGAGAATAAGTGACATAATAGAATATGACTCATGTCAAATGTGTGCAATACTTGTAAAGTACTTATTTTATTAATACAATTTTGTGAAATAATTCTATATTGAAAAGAGGAAATAAAATAAATTTACTTATATTCATAGAGCAAATTAAATAAAATTTTAAACTTTCATCTTATTACTCAACTTACAAAATATTCAAGTAGTACAACAATAAGAAATAAGTAAATTTAGACTAAAACCGAATTAAAATACATGTATATCAGCTTCATTAATATACCAAAGTTTAATAATTACAAATTATAATTCCAAAAATATATTAGGACTCACATACACCATTTACAAATCAAAATAACTTAGTCCTAATGAACAATTATCTCCACCTCAAAATACTTAGGACGATCCTAGTTATCATCTCCATACCAACCTTCTATCTCGGTTAACTCCTCTGGGAATAGACCCTTATTCCCACCAAGATCACTCATATTGGCCATTACCTCAATACCAATCACTCACTTGAAGGTGAACCAAGTGAGTCTTCCTATATGTAGAGTTGGCAAAATGGGCAGACCTAATGGACTGAGCTGAAAAAACCTGTTAAATGGGCGAGCCTAGGCTCTTAAAAACAAGGCTTAAAATTACCTCGTGCCATTTTGGTCTGGTAAGGCTTTAACCGAGCTGGCCATGTGCCATGTGGGCTCGGGCAACTCGCACACACACACACACACACACACACACACACACACACACACACACACACACACACACATATATATATATATATATATATATATATATGAGATTAAACGTGCACGTAGTTGGTTATATGACTTTGAAGATAATTTTTTTTCTTTTTCTTAAAATGAAAAATTGTCATATCTAAGATTTAAATTTACTTTATATAAATTTAATAACATAGTCAAAAAAATTTATTTTAGAATATGATAATGAAGATGATATTAATGAAAAAGAGACCATTACTCTTAATGATTCCAAGTTTTCTCAAGGAGTTTCATGTTTTTAAATTTTGATATTTAAATCTTTGATGAACTTTTTTAATCTTTGTGAACGTTTTTGTTTATATTGTAAACTTGTTTTATATTTTTGTGGACTCATTATGTGTATGGACTTTTTACCTTTAGAACTTTGTTTAATTATGAACTTATTTATATTTTTGTGAACATATTGTGTATATAAAAATAAAAAAAATGGTTGTTACAAAAAGAAAACTAGTGGCCTGTTACAACTTTAAAAAAAAAAACGAGTAGTTTATTAGGCTATTACAAAAATAGCCTAAAATGTCTTGTTACAAACACTGAAAATAGCAAAGAAAACATAGTAGTCTATTATTACATAAACAGTAAAAAAATGGTATATTACAAAAATATGGAAAAGAAAACAGCAAAAAAAAAAAAAAAAGTTTATTCCGGCTAGATCGTAGACGCCTGTAGCCTATATAGGATAAGGCTTGGACAGTAAAAATGAAAGCTCATTTTTACCTTAGGCTAAATAAGCTCGACCCGTTTGAGCCCGCTACTCATATCGAGCCAGGCTGCCCGTTTTGATAGCTCTACCCATATGGTCATGATCAAGAAAGATGTACAAATAATTTGCTGCATTTGGCGTTTAGACCTTCCTCGATATATGTACAGATTGAGTGTATATCGAATTCTACCACTAACACGGTACTCAAAGGGAATACTATATTCTATATTCATTTCTAGAGTACATACATTACTAGGTTCATTATTAATATCTATAATAAAACTACAGTTATAGAGTCGTTGCCACTCTCTAAACAAAAAATGTAATGTATTATACAACGTTTCCTCTACTCTAAAGGTCATTAGTAGAGTGGTCCTCCTGCTTCCCTGAAACATTTTAGAAAGGATGTTTTCATATTACTACACATAATCAATATTACTTTCAAGTCATACATGAATAAATAACACATCAACAAATTAGAAATAACATGTACATTTCACTGCAATTTTCTATACACAATATTCATTAATATTGTGATTTCATTCTATTATTACCATTAATATTTTTGAGTCCTTATCTTAACCAAAGACTGCCTTTGGGATCCCTTGAGATCTTCCTTAGTATAGATAATTGTTGGTTAGCCGTAGCAATACAGATACAACGTGTGCCAACATGACTCCTTTTAGCAAAAGCATGTCAGGAGTTTAGGTCAGGAAATAAGTGTGAAGTCTGTGATATTTTACTCTCATCAATTATGCGTAATCAAGAAAAACATTCACCACCCTTATTTCTCCAAGATTTTCAAATTGCCTCCATCTTTTACACTTTTAGTGTATCTCTGAATTATCAACACTTATCCTTATCATTTTTCATTTCTTATCATAATTTCTCTCTTTTTCATTTCTCATTTTATTATAAATCTGTCACTTTTATAATAACCTACTTTTCATCTTTTTCCCTTTCCATTTTATTCAACTTTTCTTTTTATATCACATATCAATCAACCATGTCAAAGGTCAAATACCTCCAAGCTCAGTCCAAAACGTACATTTTCAATACAACATGTAATTCAAGTCATCAAGTAACTAAATCATCAATAGTTTCATTCAAGCACATATTTACAAACAAAGAACAAACAATAATATATTCTCAAAAACACAAAATACATCATGTTCTCAGTAATTACCTTGAGATGAAGTCAATCAAGGTGAACTTCCAAGTCCAAATTTGAAGAAAGTTGGAATTTTGGGAAGGTTTTTCTTAGAGAAGAGAGTGAGGAACCTGAGAGAAAGTGAAAAGTTCAAAATTTGAATTGTAATATAAGTTTTCTAAGTTTAAAACCCTTAAATATCCATCAAGCTGTGATATTCTTGCTACATCAAGTTGTCTCTTGCTACAACGAGCCCTTTTCTTGCTACAGATAAAAAAAATCAGCCACTATTTTCCTCTTGCTATGTCATTCTGTCTACAGCGAGAATCCTAGTTATAGAAAGAGTGTTGTTAGATAATCTTTATCCACTTCTCGCTACAACGAGAGGACTCTATAGAGCCTGATTCTAGATTATCTCTCTTGCTATAGCGAGAAATTCTATAACTTACACGCTTTAAACTCTCCTAATTTTATTTTTCATTCATTTTTGCTAGAAAACAAGGCTTAACAGCCCAAACAAAAGAGACACTTAAATAGAGGGCCTAGAAAGCTAGAGGTTACAAGAATCCAAACTTAAAGAAAAACCAGAGAGGAGGGAGGGATATCCAACCAGCAAGAAGGGGATAGGAGGTCAAGACTCATCTTCACAAGGGAATCAACACAATGGTTCACCTCTCTACATATATGAGAAAACCTAACAAATTGAACCTTCCTAAGAGATTCTCTAATATTACAGATCAAAGTGAAAAGAGGATGGGATGAGGACTGGATATGCAAAATAAGGTTGATGGCAAACTTGGAGTCGCTTTCAATCAAGATAGACTGAATATTTTTCAGCATCACCAGATGGAGGCCCATACAAAGGTCCCAAAGTTTCACAGAAAGGGGCGAGCAAGAGTTGAGCCTAAAGTAGAAGCCAATGATGAACTTGCCAAGGCTGTCACGAATTAATCCTCTGTAGGCAGCTACTCCACTGGATTTTGACACCGCTCCATTCACATTCAGCTTCAACTGGTTATTGAGAGGAGGGATCCATTGCATCTTCCCATGATCTAAGGTAATTCTGGACAAAGGATTAGGACTGTTCTTGCAACATTTAAAAAATAAGCAGCGTCAAATAAGGCCTTACAAGCTAAAAAAAGTAGGCTGGGAAAAAAGCTATTGGAAAATAAATTTATTTCGATCCTTCCAAATATGCCAAATAACCATACCAAATATCATAGGCCAGTTAGGAAATTTTATCATACAAGTATTAGCTAAGTTAGAACATAACCAGACAGTTGATAAGTCTATAATTAAGCTCTATTTTACAACTCATATAACTAATTTATATATTAATTATGCAGTTTGGTATAAAGATGCCGCAAGTAGACTTTGAGTGCATTCTGGGCCCAAAGGAAGATTAGAGTTTCGCAGCAGTCAGCACACCCAGACCCATTCAATAAGCATGGGGGTGCTTCGAGCCCATACATGGTCGTGCTTATCTGCGGAAAGCCCAATTATGAAGAGTTTTTAGGGTTTTCAAACCCTATTAAAAGGGAGACCTCAAGCATCATAGAGGACATCGTTTTGATCTTGGCTTTTGCTCTGGGATACATCGGATCTCGTCTCTCTTGCACGAGATCTTTGGCACACTCTTAGTGGGATTTGGAGCTTCGAGCGATCGTACTTGAAGACTGAGAACACATCTTACATTCTAGTTTGCTATTTCTTTTAATTATGGCTTTGTTTATAACTGTTATAGTTCTTTTCTTTAGCATGAGTAACTAAGTCCATAGCTCAGGTTATAGGAACTATTGTTCCTGAATTTATAGGGTTTTGATGTTTGAATCTATATTTGATTTCTGTTTTGTGATTAGATGTTATCCTATTGCGCTTCTCTCTTAATCCTAATTAATCATATCGTCAGGCGATCGTACCTTGGTTAATTAATAGATCTATAGGGTAAAATGAGACAAAGAATTAGGTGGACCAAACTAATATTTCTTTTCTAATCGTTATTAAATTAATAAGTTCATATGTTCCTTAAGTTTTCTTAAATTGATGTTTTGCATGACCATTGGGGATGTTAATTTAGAGAAAAGAATATTAATATTATATGACCATTAGGTATTAATACTATTTGTATAAATGATTGATAATCACAAGGAAATCAGATTTAGAGTTAAACAGAAAAATAACATAAAGAAGTGAATGAGAAAATCCATACGCCCTATATTCCTCTCTGATAAGTTTAACTAAGACGTGTATTGTATTCCTTGTTCTTAGTTTTATAATTGATTTTATAAATTCTTGTTTTAATTAATCTCGTATTTTTGAAGCCTAAACAATTAAATTAGGAAATTCTTAGGGCATATTTGATTTCCCTTTTTAAATACAATTTTTAGTTTTTAAAATTTAAAAATTAAAAAAATTGTTTGATAATTTAAATTTTAAAAACAATTTTTTATTTTCAGTTTTTAAAACTAAAATTCAGAACAGCTTATATGGTGTTTTTGTTTTTAATTTTTGAGTTCTTTTCATGATACTTTTCTCAAAATTCTAGAAATGCAGAGAATGTAATTTTTATTAATGGCAATATTGTAAATTACCTAAAAATTAAGTTACAGCTTTTAACAACGTCTTTCTCAAATAAATATCAGAACCCCATCGACATTGAGACGTCCCCGTTATTATTAACAGTTTCATTGCAATTATTATGTTACTATGTTCAACTTAGAGACTCTAAAAAATTTAACATGTTCAATAAACATAGATGAAGGCATATATCCCACACATAATGCACATCTACATATATATAGAGTTGTTGTTCAACAGTAGATAATTTAATACAGACCTCATACCTTTTCTAGGTTATTCAAGTATTTTACAAACTAAAGGAAAATGAAGGTCAGACGAAAAGATTCTAAGCACTCATAATTTAAATATACCTCATTGTCGACTATTTTTTTTTTTTTTACGAGCAGATCTCTCTTCTAGTCATCTAATCCATCTAGAGGAGGATCAACATGAAGGCCCACGTAAGCTATTGCACAATACATGGGGTAGGGAATCTCAACTCTAATAGGACTCTACATAATTATGGGGGCTGTTAATGGTAGTAATAGTTAGTATCACATAACCTGTAAAGATAATAGTTTGATTAGCATTATTATGGCTCCACGTTCCTAACCCCATACTAAAAGTCATGTTCTGCTCAGGAATAGGAATACTCCTAGCACTCATTCTGTATTCATAACACAGTTAATAGACACAAACAAAGAAAGGGTGAGTAAATCATTCATAAATTATTTCATAAGGCAATATTAATTGCTGAATAAAAATAACCACTACATAACTTATGAATAAGCGTCTCATAGTATTTTATTCGTATTATTTCTTTCCTCCATGGAGTAATTAATTGTTCATTTAATTTTCTGGGTTGAAGATTGGGAGTTTTGTGTCCACAATCCAGATAGTGCCATAAGTACAACATCTCAAATAGGGAATTGAGCAACCATGCTCAAATTCTATTATGGTCACTCATAGCGGCTCACACTCTAACCAATCTTGGTATGCTCTAGTGCCTGTCAGGATAGTTTATAATATTTCCCACTGCTTGCGACACAAATTAGCTAGGTTTGGTCTCTTGCTAGGATTTGGGTACCTTACTATCCCCTATGGTAAAACCAACACTATTTGCCCCTCGCTTGTACCTGGCGTTTTCAACCACTGTCCTTATGAACTGTTTCATAATCACAAAATGAATCCTAGCCGTTAATCTGCCCATTGGATACACACTATCAAAATCATTCATCTCTTAAAACAAGAGAATCATTCATTTTATGGACATGGCTATTTTCAAATTTTTTTCAAATGTCATGCATCAATTTGTAAAATTCATAACTAATTCAATACAAATTAAAAAATTATGAAATCACCTAGGTTTTATTTCTTTAAGTGTCTACTTTTAAAAAAAATATACACATAAATAATGTTTACACAAAAAGTAATATTTAACTTAGTTTCTTTCTACTGTTCACATGATGCCACTTTTAGAATCCAGTAAATTGTAAAATTTGTAATAAATTCAATTCTCTTCCAAAACACATGAGACCAGTGGGATTATTTTCAGTATTATGACTATTTCATAGTAAAAATACTTTCAAATTCAAACTGTTTACATACATTAATTCGTGCTTTAATTTTATTAGTACATGTCACAGGTTAACATAATTTTGCTACTGCATATATAAAAAAATCATAAGTTATTCAATTCACCATCAAAATTCATGAAATTAGTGGCATTCTTTCACTTTGCTTATATAGTTTCACAGAAAAATACAAGTAGAAATTCATCACTTTCATATCTAAGAAATACTCCTAATTATTCTATGTTGCTCACATTAACTCACTTCTTAGAATCAGTTAAATATAAAAATCATAAATATTTTATTTTAATTCCAAAATTAATCAAACCAGTGAGGATATTTTCCCTATAGTATCGATTTTCATGAAAAAATATGAACAAAATAACACCATATATATATATCCTTAAAAACGAAATCAAGTATCTCAGCAGTATGCACAAACCATTAGTTTCATATAACAGCAACTTTAGAAAATCATAAGTATTTTGTTTTAACTCCAATTTAAGTAAACTCAGTGAGTATGGTTTCCTCATGAAGTATAATTTTATATAAAAATATAAATTAAATTACATCATGCATGAATTTTAAGAATAAAGGAACTTAAAGTGAGCTGTTCTCAGGAATCATTTTCACACATCATAATATTCAAAAATTCATATCTATTTTATTTCAATTCCAAATAAAGTGAAACCAGTGAGAATAGTTTCATTAATAAGTATATTTTTATAAAAAATAAAGATAAAATAATGCCACACAGAGATATTAAAACGAAATTGAATCAAGGCATACTGCCCCCATAATACTATTTTCATGTAGCATAATTTTAGAAAAATCATAACTAATACAATTTAAATCCAAACAAAGTAAAACCAGTGGGAAAAGTTTCAAAATTTAACTATCTACATGAATAAAATACTAACAAAAATTTTTGCAAAGATTTTATCATATGTTACATTATTTGCAGTTTAGTCCTTTTACTTTATGTTAATTGCAATTAGGTCCTTTTTCCAAAACTTTAAGAAGTCAGGTTGTCCAGCACGTTTTTCCTTTTCCTCTAAGTCATTGTCCAGGTCTTAATATGGTCAAAAACATTCCTTTGGTCCTACTACTCATGTGATTAATTATTTTAAACTTCTTGAAGTCCATTTATGGTCCAATCATAGTATTTTCTCATCTAAAGGTCCAATCCTTCAAATTGAATTTTATATCTTGGTCAATATTCGTATAATTCTTATACTTCATAGGTTCCAAAAATTGTCTGAGAGTCCCTAGCTTATTTCTTAGTGATTTCTCCCTTTTTAAATCATTTTCCCTTTTCCCTTTTCCGATCATTCAAAATCTTTAAAAATACATTTAAAATATTATTTCAAGTCAAGATAAATCTAAAATATCAAGAATACTATGATAATACAAGATAATAATATCTTAGGAGAATTTCTGTGATTTAAAAAAATCTAAAAATAAAAACTAACACAAAAACAGTTATAACTATCTTAGAACCGTAAATCTTCTTAAAAATTTAGGAAAATTCATTTTTATGTTCTACCAAAGCCTAATCACAAAATTTTCACTAAGTTTATAGTATTTATGCCATATAAAACTTAAAAAAAAACTTAGAACTCAGATCATGCATCAAAAGAATATTTACAGAAAACTCCTGATTATAAACGAAAAATTTTAACAAAACCCTCAATCAATTTCAAGGCATGGATTCACATATAATCAGCCTAATATCATAACAATAACACATAACAAGCAAAGTCATCAATAAAAATTCCTTAAAATACTCACTTACAGTTGGTTAAGATTTTTCTGCAGAATTTTCTATTTTCGCTGTTTTTAACATTTTTCTTGGAATTTTCATTTAATATAAAGGGTTACGGGTTCCCCTTGACTCAAAATTAATTAGCA